ATTACCATAAAAACTATCAGGTCTGTGCAGTGTCGTATGACATCTATGTACCAAGTTTCATTGAAATGTGATGATTAGTACTTGAGATATCAGTGGAAAAACCGAAAATTGACTAATCATTATGCAAATTAGGTAATTAGTATCCACGGATTATTACCAAAAACTAATCAAAACCTAGCATTAGTTCAGAGCATCTATGTACCAAGTTTCATCAAAATCCAATGAGTGGTTGTTTAGATATCAGTGGAACAGTCATGGAACCACTAAAAAATAGCTAATTATCATGCAAATTAGGTAATTAATATGCACGGATTTTTACCAAAAATTAATCAAATCTGCGCATATGTTCAGAGCATCTATGTACCAAGTTTCATCAAAATCCAATGAGTGGTTCTTTAGATATCAGTGGAACAGTCATAGAACAGCTAAAAATTAGCTAATTATCATGCAAATTAGGTAATTAACGAGCATGGATTTTTACCAAAACCTAATCAAATCTGCGCATTGGCCCAGAGCATCTATGCACCAAGTTTCATCAAAAACCGATGTATGGTTCTTGAGATCGCAGTGGAACAGTCGGACACACATACACACATACACACACACATACACACATACACACATACACACATACACACATACACACATACACACATACAGACACACTAACTGCAAAGACTCCCATTTTGTGCTTCGCACATGGGAGTCAAAAACATATGTGAAGCTATTATTGAAAATAAAATTATCTGATGCATGGTATATCTTATTAGGGTTGATACACTCCCTCTGAAACAATAAGTTAGAATATCGAGCATTTTCTTTTAAAATTAAATGTAAAGAATTTAAAAATTATTATCACATCAAACACTTAGAAATCCAAATATGATAAAATAATCAGTATATCAAATTATCTCCATAATAGAGAGAAAGGCGTCTACGTAATAAAAATGCATGAATACCACTTATTATTTTAGATATTCAAGTCAAATATTAAGTGTATTATTTGCTCAAACGTATATTAATATTGTGAGATGTAAGTACACATATGACAAAAACAAACGAAAGATTGTCAATGGTCACCAAGACTACGCTGATAGGTAGAAAAGTGATAGTGATTATAGGATAGTCATGGTGGATATTTGCATATGTAAGTTATATTGCCACTTACAATCCCCTGATATTAGAAGACAAATCATCAGGAAGTTCAAACCAAGATGATTGTGAACAGTCAAAGAGATAACTCGCACAATTACATCCTTCAAGACACTGGATGTCTGGATGGGAACAAATAATACAAGAAAAAAATATATTATAAATTATTCCAAGGTAAGAATTTAAAAAACAATATGTCAGATGCTATGGTATAATGATGTCCCAGATCATAATTGGTCAAACAGACGCATGGACAGACGCACAAACCGATGGATGTGAGGAAGGACTATCAATAAGATAACAAAACCGTATATGTAATGTATATTTATATGTTGCTGCAGCATATGTAAATGCAAATATAATGCAAGCTCAGTTAATATAACATTGTCTCTCAACTCACTGAGACGAGAGTTTTAGCATATTCTATCGAATATATACATTGATTTACTTTCTCTTCAACAAATATAAAATCCTCCAAGAGTATACAAGAAAATAAACATACCACAAAAGTGTTCATCATCTCCTTTAATGCAATCATGTTTACCATCACATCGTTTATTCAGTTCAATACATTGATGTGTGGATTGGCATTTATAGGAGCCAGGACATGAAAATTGATCTGAAAGAAAGAGTGCAAGATTCTAGTCATATTACTTGTTGTTAACCTGAACCTTAATTAGATAACGATGTCAACAATTAACAAAAAATATAAAACAAATTAACCAGTATCAAAGACGATAAATTCGTATATTCAGATAGGATTATCGATAAAATAACAATCAATCAAATAATTTTATATTATATGAACAGATTACCGCATATTTGTTCATTTATCTAAATCTAGTCAAAACATGGATTTATCGTTTTTATTATTGATCTGCTACAAATATGTGCTACACAATCAATGAAACTTACTACATCCATATTCATCCTCGCCATCAGGACAATCATTCTGTCCATCACACCTTCTGTATAATGGTATACAGTAAGAACTAGGGCACTTGAATGTGTATGGTGGACAGGAGTAATCATCTGTAATATGGAAAGAAGTTAATAAGTGTTAAACCTGCATACGATGTACAAATTTGGACGTGGTCATTGTACTTTACCCATATACAGTGCCATAATCTAACAATGTTGTTGCATGTTTTCGCCACGTGATGGCATGCTTGCAGTACATACTTTTTTTCTATGTGAAGGCATGATAGCCTGGTTTCACAACATGGTGCCGCGTTTTGACAATGTGATACCATGGTTTCATGTTTGTGACATAATTTGACCATGTCTTAACCACGTGATATCGTACAACTGAAAGACATTGACTAAAAGGCGGTTTGACAAACAATATAAATTTAATGGTTAAATTCTGTATGAAAAGTCAGGGACTGTAATGTCCAATCTACAATCAATTACATAAACATGAATTACCACAAAACCTTAGATGGGTCACGTCGCGGCAACCAATGTGATATTTTCTGTTATCTAGTTCAATGTAATCGTACATGCACAGTGTTGATATATCTGCGCATGCGCCGTTTTCACACGTAATCTCATTCGGTGAGCACACTTGAGCTGAAAAATATCAGTACATATATTAATTAAACACAGCGTATAACAGGTAGATTCGAACAGAATACTTCACTCTCACATTCAGATAGGTTCGTCCCTACGAAATCTAACTTAATTGAGAAATAACTCTGTCTATTTGTTTATGGCATCTAAAATTTTGATATTGTGTCATGATTATGTTTTCATGTGTTCGGTTCATATTTTGGGAATTACGACGAAACTCACTTGATGATTGGTTTCCAGTGGAAAGCTGGGCGAGATCATTCAGCGCTCGCTAATAGTCTGTTATCATTTGGGTTTATACAAGTACTGAACGGAGATCGAATCAGTAATTGGAACTAATTGCAGACGTAAACTTGGCCAACGGATTGTTGTTTTTACTACGCATGACAACCTTGGCGCCTCACGAGTATATCCTGACGGTGTTTTATATGAGAGGTCTTCCAATATAGTGAACAATTAATCAAGTATATAATAGCGTGTTAATGTGTGATTGGCTACATGAGTGGAATGTGTGGAGGGCACGCATCAAGATCTTAAATTTTCGTGTAGTAGATTATGACTTGAAAGAGGTCAGTCAGTCTTCACGAGGGACTGAGACTAGCGTTGACACGATTCCATCTGCGTGTGGTTTGGCTTGGTTAAAAGGTTTGTAAACGTGACATTCCCGAGAACCGATGTAGCGTTTAATAACACGAGAATTAAACCGTTTTTAGTAGTACATTACAACTTACAACATAGGTATTCATCCTCCTCGTGGCTACCTTCACAGTCTACCATACCATCACATTGGACGAATGATGGGAAACAAGTATTATCAAAACACAGGAAACCATCGCAAACTGAAAAACATAACCAATTAATTAGAAATTAACACGCTTCTCGAGCAGTGATAATTATCGTCTATTAGCGGCTAATGCCAGAGGTAATGTGGATATTGCGAAAACTATATTTAATGAAATGCAGCTTACTACTTCTGCATGATTCTACGTTTTCATCGGAGCCATCTGCACAGTTAATCTTCACATTACATATCAATGAACCATCAATACACTGGCCATTGTCACATTGAAACTCCGTCAACAAGCAGTCCCGGAGCACTGAAATACATATAACACGCATAGTTAGAATTTATTCTTGGTAAGAGATGAGAAGACTGTTGTATTATATACAATATTGGTAGCGCCATAATTCCAAAAAGTGACACATGCAGGGCAACATATCTCAAAATGACTTTCTAACTATTGTACTTAATCCTTGTTTTTACTCTTTTGATTCATACCTTCTATTAGAATTGTATTTAACCCGTATGACGATGAGTAGATGACAGTGTCTTTGATTTGTAAGGCATATGCCAGGAGGCATAAACCTAGTTTGTGTCATGATTTATAATTTCATGTATTTCGGTGATGCCGCTTTTCGCAGTTATAGCGACTTATAATGGTGACCCCTGGATAATCCACACCTGCTCGTAACTTGTCATGATCAGGTTCATTCGTATGTTAGGGAATTAGTAAATGGAATAACTAGCTGATATAATGGTCGACTATGGAAGTTGGTTAAGTCAACAAGACGCCTATAAGTATTAGAGTTATGTCCCAGCATCGGGGGCAATTAATCAGACATTATGGCGTGTTGAGTACCACTTTGCGATATTGGCTATATGTGTGGAGGCCACGCCTTGAGCTCTTAAACTTTTCTGTAATTGGTTAACAGTTGGAAAGTGAGTAAAGCTGATCTCAGTTAGTTGTGGCAGGCTCTCCACGAGGCACAGAGTGTTAACGCGGTCTTGAGAGAGTTCCAACGTGGCGCTGAGATGACAGGTTGAAACAATTCGATTCTCCGTGTGTCTTTGTTCGATAGAAAGGTGGAAAATTTCCCGAACTTGGTACCTCTGACGTGAAGGTTTAATAACACTCAAATTAATTTCACAGGTGTATGAATATGAGTGACAGAGAAAAAAATAAACCACGAACATTCATCTATATGAACTCTCCCACTCTATCGTCTTTGGTGACAACTGAGCTAAAAGGTTTAGGAAATTATAGTCGTTTTCAGGCTACACCAAGTACGGCTAATATTTAAGGTAATCTCATATGTTTGCATATCAGCTATACCATAGTTAGCACTGACTAACACTTGTTAAGAATGTACAAACCTCTAGTCCTTTAACACTATGATTACTCAGTACAGTAATCAGGAAAGTATACATATTAGTTATCCGGTTATAAAACAATATCAATGAAAATTCAGAAAGTGCAGATTGAGAAAAAAAACACAGGAAGGATTGCAGGTACATAACAAATATTTTAATAAAAACTAGAAAACTCAATTGAAAGATGTGAAACAAACCAATGTTGCACAGTGCCTCGCCAATTATGATACTCGTGCGATGCATGCAACAAGTGACTTTTCATAAAATTTCTGCTGTATGTAATAATATGCAAGTATATTTTATGAATCCATGAACAGAATGTTGAACTCGCTGAGCTGGGCGATATCTGTGTTGATAAACATTAATTTTCCCACAATCCAATGCGCTATTCTAATGGCAATCACGAGTACGTGTTTTGACCAAGGCGCAACGCACACTAATTACCGCCGGTGACTACTACGATACCTTCCAATCACCAAAAAAAAATACATAATTAAAGCTTGGTAACGTCTCAGTTTGTGCTGCGCAACAGTCAAAGTCGCCAGCTTTCTTCATACGAGTCCCATATCTGGCGCATGCGTGACGCAACGACCACGCTTTAATTCCGAGAACTCGTTGCACAATTACACACATGCACATTTCATTCTTCTAGCACCCGTTTATAGCTGTGTCAGGCAGGGGGCCAATATAAAACATCAAATATCCGAGAAACTTACCACATTCATATTCGTCGGATCCATCTTCACATTGTGGTGTGAAATCACAGTAGAACGATAGGGATATACACTGTCCACTGTCACAAGTGAAACTGTCGTCTGAGCACACGGTATCTAAATTTAAAGGCAAAAATTCAAAAGTTGTTTTCTTTGTATTGTCACTGACGTCACACACAGCATCCAATATATATATATATATACAGCTATCATTTTCAATATTTACCACACTGGAATTCATCAGAAGTGTCCTTGCAGTCTGGTATTCCATCGCAAATATATTCCTTCAGTATACATTCCCCAGAAGTATTGCAGCGGAAATAATCTGCCGGACATACAATCGAGACATCTAGTGAAAGAAATATGGATTAATAAATGCATATATTCTGTTGCTTCTAAAACAAAATAATCGCGTTAATAATGTATTATGTCATGCTAATGACCTGTGTACTTCTGCTAGTGCAGTGAAACGAACTTCTTACCTTTTGTTGGCATCGCACACAAAACTCCTCCGTTGAAATCTACTCCGTCATCAATCGCTGTGAAATCGCACTCCAGCCACTTCCATTCTTTCTCATATATTAGCGATAAACACAACGTATTATCAATCTTTCTTTTATTCAACGTTATCATGTCGTCGTTATAGCCATACTCTCCTACATTATTTGTCTGTTTGCCAATCCATAATACAGTTACATTACGTCTCCACTGAATGCCAGCGTTACGGTTGAGTAAATTAACAACATCACGTGACACATTACTTGCTATCTCGGCGTTGTATTGTTCACATAGTCTGTTGAGGGCGTCAACACTAATCTCCGTAGAGTTGTCACGTGGCTGATGTTCAAAAACAGTTATAATTCTGTAACATGTGTTATGGTTCCTGTACCATTCATATTCACACTCTAAAACAAAAATTAAATTTTAAATTCCTAACTGCAGCTCGTGTTAACACAACGGATTTTGAGTTTATGAACATGGATAACCGGCCAAGAATTTTAAAATACAGTACATCCAAACGTGCTACTGTATTTTCAGCCGCGTTCTATCCGATATGGGACTCATAGCGACGTACGCAACGCGTGTAATATACATCGTTTGTTTACATGTAAGTCGAGCACGCGCTGTGTGACGACCATCGCCCTTTAAAAAAATCATATAATTTCAATAAATTAAATATACAAGGCAGCATCTGTGTTTTATTAATGTTTGTGTCATGTTTTCCAACGTTTCTAAATGTAATGCTAGTGTGGGATTCTTTGCCAAATAAACCAGTAGTTACATATAACAGAATATGTGAACTCACCCTGTGTTATCATGTCTCCAATAGTTACAGACGAATATTCACTATCTGTAATGTATAAAGTATCGACAAGTCCACATGACACACAAATATGAAATCAGTCACGGTGTTTGCATACTGATTACTAACACACATGTGTATAAATTTATGTTTTGTCGACACAACCGTATTCCACACTTGATAGCTAGAACATATTTAAAGGACGATTCATTTGCATATAGTTTGAAATTAAACATAACATGCATACTAATGTAACCTACCCACTGGAATAGCTTTGTTTTTACATATATATTTATGTACAAGATTGCTAGCACACGCATAGTCTTTCCAATTCTTGGTAGAGTGGATGACATCTAATTTGATTACTACACATCCTTCATACTTCCCACCAGATGGCTCACGAGTTGACCCGCCTTCTAAATTATCATTAAGCCTAAAAATTATTAATATCATGATAAGGTTAAACAAATGTTCTATTGTAAGGTAATGACAATAGTTCACTCGTAATATGTTATATTATTAGTAATCTAACCTACCAATCTGTATAACTGAGTGGACTACCATCTGTCCAGACAAACCATCCTTCGGTCGATTCCGCATCAGATAGTCCTACAAAATGACATTGGATTATTAACTTACCGCAATATAAATATAAAGCCATGACTTGCTATGCATTACGAAACACACTCGGTACTTCTACTCGTTTCTGTAGTCACCTTATTTTGCTGGTAACGGCTTACAGAACGACAGAATATATACATGTACTACCCAACCATCATATATATATATAAACAAACAAACAAACATGTCGTGTACTTGTCATCTTTTGCTTTATTTTGTTCTTGTGGATTGTTTTGTGGGAATCTGGTGTACTTGTCATCCCATTGAAGACTATAAATATGGATATCATTTTTACCTCCATACATCTTTGTACCATGCACCACTCATGTTAATGCTTTGGAATTAGGTTGACCATTTGGCCTGCAAATTCATTTGACCTCTCTGAGCCAAGTCACATGCTACTACCAGTTATTATTATACATATGTCACCGTAACGCCATAAGTTACAGCTTGTCGTAATTTTGCGGTATTTTACGGGATAATTCCATCCTACCATATCAGGAAACGTGATTTCCAAATATGGAATGATTACGTGCGTAAGCGTCCTCTAATAATAATAAAAAAACACAAACATGGCTGCCCCCAGGGTTTGACTGGACCCACACAAAGAAGTTCGCTAAATCTGTTCTAAACGTTTTGGATTTCGGCATTCCCATGATGGGAGGGGAAAATGTATAATAATAAGGTTATTACGAGGATACTGCAAAGTATGCACGAAGACAGTACAGAGGGAGTATCGACCGACGCGCCGCGAAGGTCGATGCGACCGTGTACTGTCTGCGTGCATACCTTGAGGTATTCTCGTAATAACCTTATAATATACTATAATAATGCATCTGAAAAATGTTTTTATCACCAGTGCGCCATTAGCAATAAGGCTATAAACTCACCAATATATACAAGCTCGTTTAGAGTTAACCATTCGCTTGTCAACATGGTTTGGATAAATGCCATTTCGCGGTAGGATTTGATGCTGACAAGATGAGCATCGCGACTGATACATTCGTCTTCTGCTTGTGGCCATGTCAACGAACTACTCGATTCACCAAACTGGTAACAGTTCCCATGCTGTGATATCCAACCTGGGGGGCAGTCTCCGACTACAATGAGAAACGATCACAATTCATAATTAACATACTAGTATCGTGTATGTAATTACGCAGACAATGATGGAGCGTCTCCGATCTAATATTTGATCTACTACGTGGATATGTTTTATAAACATTTCTGACGTCATGTCAAAGCAGACAAAATTAAACAAGGCTCAATACTGTTATTTTCAATTTGGTACATGTGCATGTGCGTCACCCTACTATAGCTAACATTTTTGTTTTGTTTTTGTCGATTGCGATAATTGTGTCATTTATCTGTTTATCCACGCTTTTGTAAATTCACTGCCGTTTATGTTTGTAATAACAATATAACACTAAATAAAATACTTGCCATTATCAAGTGGAAGTTTGATCTCAATAGATGGACTGTACTGCTTAAATTCGTATGTGACATAGAAATTAAATTCACCATCTGTACCCCCAGCACCATAACTACCATGTGATACAAATTCTATAATCATGGTATTTTGGGATGATTTGAATTCCGCCTGAGACACAATGTTCGAACATAACTCCATTTCCGAGCCCGTTACAGTGTCACGAGCCTCCAGGCAATCCTTTTTATTTATTGAACTTTCCTCTCTGAGTCGAAAGTGGTCATCCGGAACTGTGAAATGAACGTATGTACCAGGTGGGCCTGTTAAACGCCAGTTGATCGTAGACAGCAATGGGTAATTAGAGGGATAATTTATCGATGTAATCACTCCACAAGAAGGACGTGAAGAGGTACACACATACTCTGTATACATTTCAACTGAGCTCTGCATCCCAACAGCACATCCTGCACAGTCTGTAAAATCAATTATTGAAAACGTTAGGTCAGAATGTATTTACCGCCATGGTCTGAAGGAACGTGTTCATTGACACGGCCTGTGCCCGGGGAGGGGGCAATATATATACAACTTGCCCAATGGGGACGTGCCCCTGAAATGGGTCTCGTTTTGAAGATTTCAGGTATAAGTATCGGTCTTATTTCTGGTCAAAATAGGTATAAATATCGGTAATATTTTTCCGATTTGGTATACTTATGGGTCCGTATATGAGGGAATATCTCCACCTCAGATCCCGGCCTCAGATCTATATATACATCAATCCACTCGCCAGGTATGATAATGGTCACACTTTTGAGCACTCAGGGACACCTCCCTACGCAGCTGTATAGTTTACACACCGGTATACTAATCTCTTCAAATACAAATATATATATCAAGTAAATTACATCGAATATATGGCAGGGTAAATGTCTAAACACACCGACACTTGCGTACGCCACCTAATCGCCCAGCTCCACGTCACGGCACGTCTTCCACTCGGCCACCGGATATCCCCCAAAACCCGTTAACGCTAAATTACGCCACTAAGATCTGGCTGAAAAGGACGATGAAACTCGTCATTGAGATCCTCGTATACAAATTTATCATTTTTTTTAATGCTTTTTTGTTCCCTTACTTTTTATGTAGTTATTTTTCTTTTACTAATATTTGATTTGTAACCCTTTTCATCCCCCCCCCCGGGGGATGTTGTGTGTTAATAAATAAATAAAATAAATAAATAAATGTCCGTTGGCCGAACGGAAGACAAGCCGGGAAAACGTGCGGTGACGTGAAGCTAAGCGATTAGATGTCATACGTAATGTTACTACGATGTGGTACCACTGAAACTTGTCTGACCTGTGAGGTAACTATTACTATATATGATTGAAAATCTTACCAACAATTTTGTATTTGAAACTGAAACCATAGTGACCATTCAGAGATTCAACAGGTATGCGTGTACTGATGAACTCTATAAGAACACTCTGAGTCGAAGAAATGATTAATGGCACAGGCCAGATACAATATACACCAATCAATGCGTCATCTTTCAACTCATCTCCGTTGTAGATCGTGAACTTCTCAAGAGTACAATCAAATTCCGTTGCGATATTTAATTCCGAAAACTCCATAGATACGTATTTGTTTTCTTCGCCGACAATCAACCACTTGCATCGAGTATACGCGTCATAATCTTGCACGGAGACAGTTCCTTCTTTGTTGGTGAGTCTACCATTCCCACCACACCCTGAATTACGATATACCGATGAACTGTCTGTAAACAATATATATGAGTTGAATTCAACTATTATCAAATATGTAATGTGTATATCGAATATGTATCAATTATGTAACTCAATGTAGTGTAATCACAGTCACTCTCCTAGTAGAGTGACTGTAGGGTAATACCAAGACAGCGAACGGCACGTGTGACATACGCACTTGTTGTGTATTTCAAACTGCAACACCAACTTGATATTCGTTATTTGCATTAATGCTGAGCTTTCATATAATCACCTCTACACATAAAAGTGTAGGCTCCCTATCGAAGTGATCACTAATGCTTTAATTTATGCATAGTTTAATAATCAGCGTAGTTCAAGTGACCAGCATTATAATACCATAGACACTGGCGGATTTATAAATTCGGTACGGGGGACGCTCATATTGACGTGACCGAAGTTGACTTCGGGTGGGCTGGGTTTCAAGTTGTCAATTGATTTGTCATTTTTTTGCGGTCTGAGGGGGGGGGGGGGGCTGGTGCGCCACCCTCTAAATCCGCGCGTGATAAACAAAAACAAATATTTACTTCCAAGTCAGCGAGCTACACACATTGAGCACTATGCTACACACAACTCCCAAATAACTCAATGAATCAACCAACACAGTTCTGTTCACATACATTAGTGGGGGAATGTGTTTACATATATTCTACATTAAACAATGATATTCGCATTATAGTGTTCGTAATACAGAACATAGTAAAATATAATATGAAGCTGAGCATCATGGGTATTCTTTAGTTAACTATGCACAAATTTCAAAATGACGAGTGGCTAAGCCTTTTTAATCGCCTTCCATCGATCATTCAGCATAAAACTTATACAATTCATAGCACATATAAAGCAATATAGATATATTCAATGCTGAAGTATTTTAATGCATAATGTTAGTTTGGTATCGTAATATAGCGAATATGAACTGATTTTCCTCTGATCCATTTTATGTTCTCGTACTAGTATTACCTGCTCTGTAGTAAAGGACGCGGAATGTATTTTCTGAATATATTAACTGCTCATCTAGTATTCCCGACATAAACTCTACGGATATCACATTGGAAGGAATGATTACATCCATCTGCCAGTCGATTCGTCCACAATAGGTCGCAAACGGCTGGCTGTGATCTGTTTCGTCACCATAAATTATCAGTTTATCGAGACAGGAGGTTTCTTCTTTAGACACACGTAAATTTAAATTCCAAAAATGAAGCCTAGAAAAGTAACTAATCATGTGTGAAATACAGTTGGAATAAATGACTTAAGGTAGAAGCCTAGTCATAGTTATGCTTTTTTAAAAGTGTCCTAATATTTCTTGAAATTTGCTATTTTTAGAACAATTTCATAGAACACAATGTTAAAGAAAAATTGAATTTTAGACACTTTTTTAAACCCAGATTTTTTAAATAATTCAGAACAAAAGTACTCCGTCATAACAATATATGATTTTTTCAGTCACCAGGCTAGATTTTGAGATATTACATAATATCTCTGCCATTGGAACCTATGGTATAAAAGTGTTATAATAGTGTCAAAATGGCAATTTCTCGAAAAAAGGCTGGTGTCCCCCAATTTTGTTTAGGTCAATATCCTTTTTGCAAAATGAATAAATTCTAGGTTTTTAAATTTATGAGTAGGCTTTTACCTTAAGCCAGGAGTATGACTATTAAATAGTAAATCGATAATAACACAGTATTAGATTACGTACATTTTTAAAGAGTGGCGGCCACCGCGCCGCGTCCTGTTCGATATGGAACTCATAGCGACGTATACAACACGTATAAAATACATTGTTTATTTACATGAAATTTTAACACTCGCTGCGCAACGACCACCGTCCTTTAATATATTACATACCCTATCAAGCTTCCCTTCATTACACTAATATCCCAGCGACACACTGAATCACTGCCGTAATGTAACGGAAAAGCCGGTGACTGCAAAACACCGATTGTGGCACGGGTGTTTATTTGCTGGATACCATGACTACATTCAGAAATTGATATTTCTGTGAAAATAAAAGAAGCGATCTTGTAAAGATAATCGTGGTTACCTTGGTTACTTCACAAACCAATGTGCATAACATACTGTTCAAATATCTGTGTTATGATAATTGTCTGACAACAAATCTCGGCAGTATGTCTTAAAATCTATAAATCTCGTGTAAACTATAATTTCGTATCATTGTAATATACTAATAATGGTTATTCATGCGCGTTCTCCGACTTAAATAATAAAGCGAAGGGGATGTCACCTGCGCATGCGGAATTGAGTTCCAAGCGACGATAACAACGCTTAAAACGCAAAGGCTCATAGGTTAAAGGTTGTTTGTGAAAACCGATGCGATATGGTCATCTGACTCGCACGTGACGGCTCTCCCATATATGTATGCGTGTGTTGTTAGCAAGCACACACTACTAACCCATATAACATAATGTCGGTAGATATTCTTCACAGTCAACTTGCAACAAACTTCCGCCGCTACCAAAAGCATCGCACTTATCTTGAGTGTCCGTTGTTGTATTATCATTAAGATCAATCCAGAAATTGTTGTAACGTGTAATATCTGACATCAATTCCAATGCGTACTGAATATAGATATAAATATCAGAGGGTTTTCACATTAAAGTTTTCTAATAATGTGGTATTGACCGTCTATATATCAATTTCTTCACCAAATGGCAAACATTTTGTTAAAATACCCAGGAATCTCAAAAAACATGGGTGGGAATGATCGGCCTCAAATAGTGCAATAAAACTAGCTAACAATGCACAAATGTGTCGTTAACACTACATCATATACAGATGCAGACTTATCACTGTGGACGATATGGTCAAGTTCTCAAATGTTCGATAACTAATGAAATGCATTAAATGTAAACAAAATGTATTAGTAAGCATCTGAGCAAGCTTGATAACCATGGCAACCAGCATTAGCAATTTACTCCAGGGCGAAACAACTAAATTATCGGCCACACCTCATTCACATGAATATAGCAGACATATACTTATAGAGGGCGTTTTCGCATTCAACAATATCAAGCTAAAGGTACCAGACGTTATAGAAAAACTGCAGTTGTCTAAGATGTAGTAATCCTAGACCACATCTTAGGTGTCCAAGAGTATGGTTTATATCCCCTCCCCTCCAGGACGCCCACAACCACTAGACCTTTATTGACGTTGACAATTTGTGATATAAGTTAAAATGATATGTTCAGGACAATTTTATAATGTATCCTTTATGTAGTCATATTGTTCTAGTGGTTCAGAAACCCAAAAAATATATGTTCATGCTCAATCAATCTGCAACTATGTGGACATATTATATTCTGTGCGGTTGCAATGCGCATGTTTGGCTGTCAGAGACACGCCCATCTAGCATATATTAGCATATATTAGGCCCTTTTCTCATGTTGTATTTTTAATGTTAAAAATTGCGTACCAACTCCGCTGTGTTATAATCCAACAAAGCCCCACCATAGCTTGCACATTGCTGGTGACCCTCGTTCCAGGGTAAATAATTTGATGAAGCGACTACACACCCACTTGGTATAGACACAGAAGATACATTCCCAAACACAAGACCAATAATTTCATTGTTACAAACATCTACAGACAAAAAGCGAAAATATTAATAAATGGTAATATTAGTAATACATAGTAAGTAATACTTGTAATACATATTAATGTGGTTTCGATTCACAAACAGAGTATATACATACATACATACATATTGAATTATTGTTGTGTATGTAGATAGTCAGCTCTGTATGTAATTTTAAGCTGACAGAAAATGTCACATAACGCAACTTACCCATGCATTGTGTGGCATTTAATGGATGAATGATATATCCAATCGGACATCGACAGTAAAAACTTCCTGGGGTGTTCACGCATGCGTGAGAACAGTAGTGAAACATACATTCGTCCAAGTCTGCAACGAAACAAACTATGGTCAATTCAGATAAAAACATATACCGCGGACGATGAGTTAACCATACTTGTTCTTGTTGTCATAGTAACGAACACTACAGTATGTAAATGAAGTTAAGTTTCCTCACCGGTTTGACAGAGAAATGCTCGCCCATCACATATATCCATATTGATCTCAGTATCACTGAGATAGCAGTCAGTTTCTCGCCACAGCAAATTGTGTCCCATGCCGAAACAAATCTCGGAGTTTGCATCTATCGTTATATCGATGATACTGATGTTGTATACAAACGGTGTGTTGTCAGCCCAAGTAAATCTGGGTTCAGATTCCGATGATAAATGTAATCCAATTAAAAACACGATATCGGATTGGTATACAGGTGTCATGTGGCGGATGAAATAGTGTGTGTTGTTGGTAGCAACAGTGAGCGCAGTTGAGGAATCACCGAACACCATCGGACAAACATCGAAAACATGCGTTGCATTTATTGACATTCTGTCACGTGAAAGATGTTCTCCAACGATGTGTTCGACATTCCCGTCACATAGGAATAGGGGTATGAGTGGTCCAACACAATATCCATTGTTTGGAAGAAAATATAATCCACATTGTAAATAATCTGCAAAGATTGTAAGTTTCATTACTTAACACAGCAATAGAAAGCTTCCGTTTTATTATACATCTGTCACCGTAAGGCCACAAGTTACAGCGTGTCGTAATTTGGCGCTATTTCATCCTACCATATTAGGAAACGCGAATTACAAAAATGGAACAATTACGCGCATAAACGTCTCTAATATAAAAAAAAAAACATGGCTGCCCCCAGGGTTTGACCGGACCCCACACAAAGAAGTTCGCTAAATCTGTTCTAAACATTTTGGATTTCGGCATTCCCATGATGTATTCATGGGAGGAAAAGATGTATAATTATATGGTTATACGGGGATACTGCAAAGTATGCACTCAGACAGTACGCGGTAACATCGACCTCCTCAGCGCGTCGGTAGATACTCCCACTGTACTGTCTTCAGTTCAAGTTCGAGCATACTTTGCAGTATCCTCATAATTACCTCATATTATTGCTCTGCTGAGATAATGTTCATATATACTGATTGGTAAATACTGTATGTAAAGCATCGAATCAGTGGAACCATACTACTATGTATAGTGACGTACACGAGTACATCAATGGCCATGAATTGGAACATTTGCATATTTGCAAATTATTTAAATTAGTTAATGACAACACGAAACACAGTTATTATTACACGTAAATATACAAAACGTAAAAAAAAATTCTGAAAACTTCGTAACCTGCGCAGAAAGTTGCAAATCTATCGTTCGGATAATTTAAGCGATTACACCATTTTTTGACCAGGATATGATTTTACACAGATTAAATATGTTTAATAATTCACAGTTATTTAAAGATTCAAAATGACGTAAGCACGTACCTCGTTCAGTTTGATATGTGAACATGTATAAATACAAGTAGTTAGCCGGATCACTACCAGTCGAGAATGGTTTCCTACTTATACAACGAAATGTCACCAGCATACTATTACCACTGCTGTTGTACTGAATGTATGGCACATTCTCAGAAGGTGCTGACTGACAATCGGACGCCATGGCTAAAACTGGAGCATCATATGAATTTCCGTCGTGGACAGTAAAATGGTGCCCTCCCATACACGATATACTAAAATTGAGCATAGACATCACAATTTTGTTTCCATCGGGGACTATAATGCGCCATTGGTGTATGAAAGGAGTATACCAATTCACGTTGAACTGAGGATAGTACGGATTCCGCACAACGTCAGTTCTGTAAGTCCTCGTTTCCGCTGTAACTGAAGGTGATCGAAGTCAGTTAGTCTGAAAACTGACAGTATATATTTTGTGTCAGGAAATTGTACTCGTATAAACTGGATTGCCCAAGGATCATTTAGTAACTGTACTCTTACCTTCAACATGTTTAGTTGTGATATTAAGTTGAAACCCCTTTGTGTGGAAATTACGGTCGGTTTTAAAAATCACTGTCAATATATTACTAGACGATAAAGCAATGTCCCCCGTTTTAATAACACTCGTGTGCTTATCGCCATCATCACAAGAACGTCCTAGAATTGTGTCCAGCGTCTCGTTGAAACCATCGACAACCATCAAATAGTCAAACATACACGATCCTGTTGGTATAATATGAATCACCAAGCTTTTTATCTGTTATTCAGTAAAATGTTCGTTACCAAATTAAACATTAATTTAATATTAAGCAGGATTTGAACACGATAAAAGAAACACTGCATTCTCAGACGTACTGGCGTCACGCGATGTCCTTTTATAGACAATATTTTATAAAAGTAGGTTTTATTGGTGATAGGATTCTTAGTCTGGTAGGCTGAATGTGACGATTATTCTCACAAGTATAAATATTCAACCTAAAATATTCCATTTTCGGCTGTCAATTTATTAAACATGTTCTACCTGTTTCAATTTGCAAATCTTTCACGATCACTGATAATTGTGACGTCATTGGTGCTTCTACAATCCAAGTGCAGAATACGTCATCCGGGTACGATAAAGGATAGTTAGGCGAAGATAAGATGAAGGCGTGGTGCTGTGCATCGTCCTGGAACACATGTCTACCCCCACAATCTGTAAACGTAACAAGGTGGTGTTATTCAAAATTGAGTTGAAGCTTATATACAAGGCAGAATTTGATACGTCGAAAAGTACACAACATGTAAACTGCTCTCTGATTGGTCTGACTATTAGGTTTTAGGGCCTGGTAGCCAATCAGGTACAATCACGTAGCTTCGATTACGGTTTACTTTTACATCTCAGAGTACAGTGACCCCGCTACTGTAGAGGTTGAGTGGTAATGATGTGTATTTTACTGATAACACCTTGTGCTCAGGTGAAGTTTATGAAGGTCATCAAGCCATTGCGATCCATTTCACCACAAAGTATCTGAATGATTATGTTTTTGAATAATTTATTAAGCACTTAGATAAAAAGCACTTTCTTATTAAGCAGTTCGTTGTTTGAAAAAACAGTTTCCGATACTGATGTCAAAGAGTAAATAATTGATACGTTTTTGAACAAAAATATAACGATATTTTAAAAGTAAACATTTTGTTCGGTGTTGAACTCAAGAGATCAGGTCCCCTTGATTTTAAAATGCTTAAACCAAAATACTGAATGCAGTGTACGGGTTTCACAGCGCTATTGTAATTTGTATCAGGGCACTAGGTTACGTAACCATGTTTGTATTTCAAAACTTGTTATCTAATAATGATAATAGAATAAGCAAGCCTTAGATTTATGACTGGAATTTTAGCGAAAACAAACTGGTTTTGAAATGGCGGATTGATAATTTAGATTAAACTGTCAGAAAAATTGATTTTTAAAAATATACAAATCAACAGATGGTTATATGTGAAAAAAAAAGATCTTGCGTTTCAAATTATTTCATCGTTGTCTATGGGGAGTTTAGTTGTAGTACGAATCCTACATATTGAATTATTATATAATACTGGTATCATATGAGATGTACACGTTACCTTCACTGGTGTCGGTAATCTCGACTTCCCTGAAATCCATTTCGAAATAATTGAACTTAAATACATCATCATATAAATAACCCTCTTGTATATGCAGTTGAATACTAAGAGAATGTTCCGATGATACGAATGAGAGCATAGAGTTGTCCAAATCTGTATCATTACAAATCGTAGTTAGTTCTTTTAAAAGACCTTCTCCAAACACATCGTATATCTTTATACTTATCCCACAGTTAGGATCGTTGTCAAGTAGAGCGGTAGTGACGTTAAAAAACACTCGAACAGTACGTGACGTCACCAACCAGCTACACGCGAAAGATTTAGAGGTATCTACTGATGATAAATAGGCTTCTCCAACAGATCGTAATGTGCGGACGTCACTAACAGCTACAAGTGTTGAGCCACAGCCTACAGAACAAATATAATGGTGTCACGTGAATAAATATGCAACAAACACACTACACCGTCTCATCAATGTTTAATACATTTGACAAAACAGCTATATACGATCAGTACTAAAAGGGTGAAGAAAATGAAACGAAGATTAAACTCAACTTTCTTTCGTACATACCAATTTCAGCAACTTTTGCACGAAATCCGGACATATGCTCTTTTGCGACGGCCGTGAACTGAATTTGTACTCGATTCATTTGTGAAATATACACAGAACTATTCATTTCGTTTCCACAGTAAGTTCCAGCTTGGGACATTGAACCTATAGAATTTACAAAGGTAATACAATATGTGTATAATATTTTAGTATTCTCTCACAAAATCTAACAAGTGCTCATGTTTTGGTTTGAGTGCCAAAATGCACAAATAGTGAGAAAGGGACAGGTGTGGTTGCGAAGCAATGCTCGATAAAAAGAACGCTATCTACATCGATACAAACACATGTATGTAAGCAAATCTACATTTACATAAATTTATTTTTCATAATAATAAAATCATTCAGTACATATTTTAACAAATTCGCGAGTAATCTAGCCGCTAGTTCAAATGTATTTAAATAAGTCGCCATAAATTGTCCTAGGTTTAGAGCATTGTTACACGTTTTTGTGTAAAAAATATAATTCATAATATGCTTGTATGGCCATGTAGCACAGTATTAGATCTTTTTGTCACTCGATCAATTATCAAAACGAAAATCAATGATCGACAATGTGGATAACGGGTAGAGAAGATCACGTGGTTATATTGATACGCCCTTCAATGCCATACACCCACAACTACGCACACAAACCTGAATTGTCACCGCTCTCCATAATAGATATGTACTCGGTACATAAACCATCACCTGATGGATCCTGTATGTTGAAATCAACAAATTCAATCGATACATAGGTTCCCGGCGTTGTATTTATTTCCCATACGCACTCAATAATAACGCCGGGTGAATCTGAATAGTTCGGGCTGACAATCATTTGACCACACTGTTTACCATCCAGATACTTCAAGCTCCCACATCCGGATGTCGTAGCATGGTCACAATCTGATGAGAAACAACATACGTATTACAAAACACGAGGAAGACGGTCGAGGGGCGGGTGGGGTGGATCTTCACAAGGAGGATACATTGAAAACTATGAGGTACAGAAAATTAAAAAATAATATATTTAGAAAAACAGTAGTGATTATACCACAGCCAGTTGATAAGCACTAACTTCCTTGAGCACCAATATCAGAAACGATTACTGCAATGTCGAAGTTTGTTCTTGATATTAAATGAAAAACACGTCGAAGAAAAGGAATTACGCAATGTTTACAAACCATCATGTAAAACACCATGTACGAGAAACAATTGTTTGGAATAAACTACTGTGACGTCATCCCCGAGCGTATCAATAAGGCGTGTTTCGTCTATCCATCCATCGGCAGATATCCCTTGGACTGTGATGGTTGAACCCTTGTAATTACAGTCCCCATAGAGGTCAATACTTGCAATAGTCTGTGACGAGGATACCCAGTACCCTGTAGGAAAACAATCACACATAGACATATATGAATCACGATTAAACGGTTGTTGACAGATACCAATGTACGGAGTCAAACAGTGTCCTGGCAATTTTCGTGTATATTTAGACATTATTCAACAGATACTTTCCTTCTGAATGGGTGAAATGAACTCAATGTGATAATATCGCTTAATATTGGCAGTGTTAGATGGAATAGCTGATTAGAACATGAAGTCATTCTTGTTCTTTGCGAAATGACCATGCTCATATAATCCAATGAACCATATCGAGTTTTAACCTGGTTCTGATTTACATCTACTGAACATCGTCATCACTGACAATGATATTTGTTATGAATTCCCTACAACCTATCGGACCAAACTTTTTTAATAATTCATCGATAAGAACTTCAATTCAATGCCAACAATGCATGCGTATAACACATACCTAATACGTCACCTTCTTCAAAATCAATAAAATCATTTTTGTGTAAAACAACGTAGTTCTCTTGATTTTGTAGAAGCTGCGAAGTGGTGATTCTGGTTTCTCCGACAAGATGGTACACTCCGGGTGTAGAACTCCGAAAGACTCCAAGACTGAACGCTGGTATTGTCATCACGGTGAAACCATCGACTGTCCGGAATGCCCAAGACACTATGTGACCATTGTATGGGAATATTAGACTGGTGTCCATGTAAAGCGTGTCAACAGTGTTCACTTGAGACGAGTCTGTAGTGATGTCTATACGATAGCCAAACGTAGAGGCATTTAATTTATCTGCGATGTAAAGGAACATGTTGAAATTCGTTGTTAATACATATCAATTTAAGTTTAAATGCCGAAGAACACGTCTGGCCAAAGAAAACTACAAGGCTACAGGCTGGGTGGCCCTGGTGACTCTGAAACGTCCAGGCCAACCAAAGATCTGAACAAATGCTTGTGACATATTTCGCCAAGACCACCGTACTGATATTGATCAGTATATCAGTATATTGATATTGATATATATATATATATAACGGAGAGGCATGTTCTGTAACATCACTGTATATTCATACTCAATACCGTACATGAGAACAAGTCGATTTAATAAAATCAATGATAATTATATTCATTGACAAAAACAGTAATTCCAAGGCGAACGCACACATTTACAGCACAGACTCGCTATTACAGCAAAGGCCTCTTCACTGCAGGCGGACATATGCTGCATTGACTGCCCTAAAATACCTGACTGTCCGAAATACCACACACAATGGCTGGTTGGTATATTGTACACACCAAACTTCGTATACAATCATGTGTTCATGCTTGGATATGAACCTAATCAGTTACACACATATATCACAATACGAAACACACTCCATTTAATCAGAAACAATAAAATGTGACCACTAATCCCAATACAAGACGCCGTTAAAGGCAGATTTTAAACAGTTATAGCCACTAAAATTAATATCAACACATCGCTGAATCCCAACGCACTCGCTGTTGCAATGACTGACAATGTTACCAGTTATTTCGTTTCATAACCTCGATTCGTAGCAATAACGACGCGAACAATTACCCAAAGAGTCAATCACAGTCGATTGTGTTGATATCCTGTACGTGCGCACATATTTTACGCCCTAATTTACGATAATCTTCTGAATTTCCTCTCGCTGAATCCCTTGCAACTGACACTGTCCAATTAATTAAGAGCATGGAAAACCAAGATTCATTGTTCAGACCTGATACAGACCTACTGACGCAGCAGGGACGACCCGATATAATTGCACATGTATGCCGACTTTGAGACTTGCCAGATGGCCCGTTTAACTGTACACGTGCCGAACTCATATTCAACCTGAGCTACTAGTGATGCACTGGGATTCTTAACTCCCGTGCAGTAAATAATTTCTCATTTTACTAGCTTGAATGCCCGTTCATTGCATAAAAGTTAAACACACACAGAAATTATAACCACAGCAATAATGTGTCATTAAATATAACTAGTGATGAGTAGCAGCAAAATCTATATGCATATAGTCACCCAATTCATGCGTATGTGAAAGATATGATCAACATGAACTGGTAGCGAACAAATATTGAACAGAAGTTGGAAATTTAAGTGTGTTATGTATTATCGCCATATCAAAGAAATAATATGAAGTGTACAGTTTGCTTGCTGTTTTAAGCCCCTTTCACAATTGGCGCCTCACTCGTGCGATAATTTTTTTTTTCGAAAATATTTTCCCGTCCTGTTGTAGAAGTGTTGCCTTGAGTCGCAAGCAA